ATAAATTGTTGTTAAATTGTATACATTTCATGATTTTAATTAAATAAACATAATTTGGCAACAAATTAAACTGATTTCATAGGATTTGAAGAACAGAGGTCATTCACAAATTTTTTTATAATTTATTTTTATTAAAACATTGAGCCGTGATGCTGATGCTGGCAGTGCAGGTTCGAATCTGCCTCATTTTCCCATCGGAAAATCACTGAAAATAATAATTCCAGAATCTATTGGATATTTATTAATCTGTAGATATTTTTGTTTGTTTTTCATTTTTGTTTTTCTAGTGAATATCGTTTAAAATTAGAGGTCATTCAATTTCAGTAATTATGCTGTTATGTTATGTGTGTTTGTTATATCTGTATCTGTATTTCTGTGTGTGTGTGTAGCTGCTGTAATACTAAAAAATACTAAGAGTCTACCTAAGCTTTTTGTGTCTTTGCTTGTGTGTGTGTGTGTCCCTCTAAATGCTGATATCATGTTCTGCCCACTCTTACATCCGCTTCCTGCCTTAGTGACAAACAAGGCTCAGCTATCCCAGCATGCCATGCATTCTCCTTTTTTCCTTCTTTTCTTTTTCTGTCCTTTTTTTCTTTCCTCCTTTTTTGAAAGACTCCTCAAAGACTCAGAACCTCCCACTGGAAAGTAGAGAGCAGCACACACACACAGGACTCAGGAGGTTGTTTGGTTTGTTGGTTACTCTTGTACCCAGGGGCTGTTTGCCTAGTAATTTATCTCTGATGTGAAGGATTGAGAATCATGTTTGGCTGAGCGAAATCCTCCTCCCGACTTGAACACAGGCTCCACTGCCAACAGCAGGCCGCTCTCCTCTGCCCGGCCCAGCAGAGCCGTGCCCTCTTGGCCAGACCGCCACAGCCCTCCGCCAGCTCCAGTCCCACACTAACACCGTTTAGCTTTCCTTTCTGCAGCTCTGATTTTTCACGTACTCTCACACTAGTGCCCTGTAGATAGTGAATAACAAAGTGCCCTCAACTTGGCAGTGGCTGGCAGTGGAAATAGTTGACAAGCTGTTGGGTCTTTCAGTGCCACAGATTGACCGTCACCACTGTAGTCTGCCCCCTGTTGACAGGATTTTGATCAAGACGTCAGAAAAAAAGATATTAGACATGAAATTAAGACATTTAAGACACATTTGTGGACTTATAGTACATTGATCAACTTGTTCGAAAGAAAAGAGCTTGTTTTCAAATAGCTTTCTCTACCTTCCTTTTCCGCAGACTTAACCAGTGTCTCTTATTTTACACCGTCTCTCTTCCAAACACCTGTCGTATAAACTTTTTATCAACCATTGAAGTCTTTTATTGAACAGTGTTGCATTCAAAAGCATGTTGTTAAGTCAAATGCATTTGCGACTTTTAAATGTGTCGTGTTTAATTTATTATCTGGTACAATAAAGAATATTGGCCAATATTGTATAATTGTGCATACTCATTTTAGCATTTTTTTGCACACTCAGTTCAACATTTTTGACTTCCACTGTGTACAACAATAATCAAAGGGCCCTATGATTTTTCCAGTTGTTTAAGGTTTACTGGATCAGGTTTAAGGATAAGAATTTTTCAAATATTTTTTTGCTTGCAATTTTTTCCAAATGAAGTAATTTAAAGCTGGGCATAACTAGAAAAAATTATGTTAATATTGTATATTATAAAAATGCAGATGGGGTTTTAAGATTGTATTAATTTATGACTTTTCCAGGCCTACAAATCACACTTTTGAAATGAGGCTTCCTCATATATTCAGGTTTTTCAAAACCGTGGAGTTGACAACTGAGATTTTAAAAATAAAATGAGATTTCATTTTATTGTATTTTATTTTAATGCTTGTTTTTCTTATTTTAAATCATTTTAACCATTTGTTCATTTAATGTTGTCAAAATTAACAATTCATTTTATTTCTAATTGGTTTTATATTTTCCACAATATTTTAGATATTAAAACCGACCGTTTTATTAGTTTTAGGCTATGAAATAATAATATAAAATAATGATCAACTTCAATATTGGTGTTCCTTAGTTTTATTTTTTTTTTTATTTTTTTTAGGAAAAATTGGCTCGCTTGGTTATCTCTCCATATCACACAGGGATATCAGTGTTGTAACACTGAAAAAAAATCACATTGTACTTTAAAAAAAATAAACAACGTTTAATAAAGTAGTTTTTCTGTGCAACACCAAAATGTTGTACTATTTTGACAATATTCGACGTTATTTTGGCCACCGGATTGTCATGGAAATAAAGGTTGTGGAGTGACGAGTGAGATGGTCTATATTTTCTTTCCTCACCTTATAAAGCAGTTCTGCTCACGCCCAAACTCCAGAATCACATCGCTGTGGTTTCAGCAATGTTTTCAGGATGATGAAATATTGATGCAGTTATTCCTCAGTCCTACAGATGTGCTGCCCGAACCACAACATCTCTCGCTCGCTTCTGCTAACAAACAGACAAATGTGAACTAGTTTGTGCAACTGCAGTTATTCATGAAGATTCGGGTTTCATTACACTAACTGAGTGTCATAATGACATGCAGTACGTGTGCATCATGCACTACTGATGGGTACTGTGTCGTGTTGTGTTGAGTGAGTGAGTGTAGTGAAGTACATGCTGTTTACACAGGGCTTTGGTGTGGCATTGGGTGTGAGGCTGAGCTCTCCCAGCATTCTTTGGAGCACGGCCAGATTGCTTCATGCGCTTCACACATACATACTGATATATTTCATCATTTATATATCCTCTCATACATAAACAACCATTTTTTACACAAGAACCAGTGTGGTTTTACAGCTGACACAATTAATCTGCTAAACACACAGCACAATTAATTAAATTAAAACAATGGCAAGTGTCTTTCAAGTATTTCTCAATTAAGTCTTGTTCAAGTATCTACTTCAGATTCTCAGTTATTCAAGACAAGTAAATAGTCGGTAGTAAAATAGAGAGCAAAGAAGCTCATTACAAGCTATAAAGCAAATAGCCTAAAAACAAAAGAAGATATACATTTATATGTAAAAAAAGCAAAAATAATCAAATGTGAAATAGTGTAAGAGTCGGATTCTGGAGATAAAAATACCATTAAGTTTCTCCGTAGGAGAACTGATTTAGAAAAATGTATAAATCATTAAATACAGACATACTATGAGCTACGACATTGTTAATCAATGGTATATGCTCTTTTTTTTAGACTATCAGCCCACATTATTAAATACTTTTTTAAATAATAGTGTTTAACATCAGAATTCCTGGTAGAAAAACTACATTTCCCATGATTCTGCAAAGAAATCTCCAGATATATAATTTTTTTTTGTTTCAAATAAAAGTTTGTGGTGTTGTGATTGACCTTGTACCTGGATGGTTTGGTTCATGGCTTATAACTCTTGAAAGAATACTTTTTTTTTTTAAATCCCTATGGGAAAAATGAATGGGAAAAGTACTTCTGGAACCAAGACAAAAAAAACAAGTGGACAGGCACTTTTTTTTAAAGTGAAAGTGAAGTGAGTGAAGTGACATGTGGCCAAGTATGGTTACCCATACTAGGAATTAGTGCTCTGCATTTAACCCATCCTAAGTGCACACACACAGCAGTGAACACACACTCACAAACCGTGAACACACACCCGGAGCAGTGGGCAGCCATTTATGCTGCAGCGCCCGGGGAGCAGTTGGGGGTTCGGTGCCTTGCTCAAGGGCACCTCAGTCGTGGTATTGAAGGTGGGAGAGAGCGCTGGTTATTCACTCCCCCCACCTACAATCCCTGCCGGTACGAGACTCGAACCCACAACCTTTAGGTTACGAGTCCGACTCTCTAACCATTAGGCCACAACTTCCCCCTTTTGCATAGAGGTCGACCGATAGTGGATTTTGCCGATATCGATGGCTAGGTTGGACCACACTGGCCGATACCGACCAAATGGATAGTGAACAAAAACTAAAATAGTGCTTTACTAAAAAAACTGTACTGAACCATACTAATAGTAGTAGTAATAATAATAACAATAGTAAATGTTGAAATTAACACACTCTAACAAGGAACAATACTTATACAGCTATCATTAATCTTAATGTTACAAATGGACTCTTTATTTTAAAGTGTTACCATTTCATTTCAACAGTCATGCTTAAAGATGCACATCTTTAAATATATACACAAAGGCCATAACATTAAAATTATATACATATGGATATTGTATCTATATTCTCACACTTTAACTGCTTCTATTCTTGAACACTTGATGATTATCTAATCAACATAAAAGTGCAGCGCTGAGTCTAGGAGAACTCACCAGTATCGCACACACTCCGGACGCGTCACCTTCAACTCTAGGAGTGGTCTAAAACAGTTTATTTAATCACCAAATGGACACAAGTTTACTTCAAGAATGAACAATGTGGCATAGATGAGTTTGAAGTTCGGTGTTTAAAAAACAGACCAAACAGTAAGAGAAAGTGCGATCGATATTATAGCTCTATAAATGAAGCATACAGACTTTATTAGAGCCACAGAAAGACAAACGTTTCGCTGACAATACACAATTCATTATGTACATTAACAACGATTCAGGACAAATATAATGTTATTGTAATGGAAAACTATGTGAATTGCGCTCTGTGGCGCGACAGGATTTTCTATTGGCTGCATTTAAATCCGCGTCTGTAGTTTCCCGCTCTGTTCAGCGTGCAGTATCACGTGTCTAACTATCGGCATTGATTTTTGCCGATAACCTATAGTTCCAGCAATCAACTATCGGTGCCGATTAATCGGCAAAACCGATACATCGGTTGACCTCTACTTTTGCACTCCATAGAATTACTTAGTTTTGAATTATTTGCTATAATTATTGCCATTTCAAACTGTTCAACTCACTAACTCTACGTGGAAGCAATAGTATTTCTTAAGCTTGCAAATAATGCTGATAAAAATGGGTCCATTTTGATTTCCTATCTTTTGAGTCTGGACCTGACCCGCTCTCGTTCTTTCTTTCAGTCTAATAAGGTCCCGGTGGTCCAGCATGCTCACATGCACCCCCTGACCCCCCTCATCACCTACAGCAATGAACACTTTTCTCCAGGAACTCCTCCAGCCCACCTCTCGCCGGAGATCCTGGACCCAAAGACAGGTACTGCACACTCTACTTACACATTTTTAACTGAAATGCATTTTAAGTGAATTTTTCATTTTCACATTTTTGTCCTCCGTCGTGACTGACTGTGTACCACTGGTTCAGGTATTCCTCGGACCCCTCACCCCTCAGAGCTGTCCCCCTACTACCCCCTGTCCCCTGGGGCCATGGGGCAGATCCCTCACCCATTAGGGTGGCTCGTCCCACAGTGAGTATCCCACAATCTTAATAGATACTATCCTCACACCCTGATTCATACGGAGTCTCTCTGATTCACTCTCTCTCTCTCTCTCTCTCTCTGTGCATCTCAGGCAGGGTCAACCCATGTATCCCATCACCGCGGGGGGTTTCCGTCACCCTTACCCAGCTCTTGCCATGAACGCATCCATGTCCAGGTGAGTTGTGTTTTGCAGATTGATTCTCCCATAACGCATGGACTCTTTTCACAGAGTTTGTTGATGTATTTTAATTTGAGATTGAGATTGTAGACATTTCATACAAAAACAGAGGTTGATAAAGTAAGTTGGCTGGACAAAATAGTTATATTACAAGGTCCAATAAATAAAAGATAAGTGCAGGTTAATCGTTTACAGTAAGATTAATAACATGCGTTTAGAAAATACATGCGGCGAGTTCACAAAAAAAAACCAAACAGACAGTTAAAGTTTTGTGAAGGAGTTTACAAAATTGTTACACTTTATTTTACGGTTTCCTTGTTACACGTTACATGTACTTACTATTATAGTAACAATAAATTATGCATAATTACATGCAAGTAACCCTAAAACAAACCCTAACCTTATCCTTATAGTAAGTACATTTACGTCATTAATATTAGTACTTATTTGTGTAATTACACTGTAACAATGTCACCTAAAAATAAAGAATAACCATTTAATTTTTGTTTGCTAGTTTGTTGAATGAAGGAATCTGTAGTTTTATTTTTAAGTGTTGTGAGAAATGCAGTATGTTAATTATTACATCTGCCGTAATCCATGTTTTTTTTTATTTATACCTATTTTGGATGGTTGTGTAACCTTAACAGGGGATTCTTCTTTTAACATTTACTGTAGTCTTCCATTATACCTCTGTACTTCAGCTGCACCATTTAACTCTGCTGTTTCCAAACCAAGAAACATGCTTGGAAGAGTTTATTTCACAATTGTACACACTCAAGATGAAATAGATCTGAATCAACAAGAACTGCTCTTTGTTTAGTGGTAGCACTGGATTAAATAAGAATGATTTGTACTGAGCTTCTCTTGTTGTGTTGTGTTGTGTGTGTGTGTGTGTGTGTGTTAGGTATTCTTGAATTATTCATACAGAGTTGATAGTGATCAATAGTCTGTCCTCCTCCAGACCTTTACAACCATTGTCAGTACAAGCGAGTGCAAGCCCAGCCCTGCTCATTTCTCCATTGGTATTTGTGTGATACAGAAGGACTACACTTTCTGTAGTTACTTTGAGAATAGACGTATCGAGTGTTTGATTTGACCCCTCCTTCCATTTGGTCCTGAATTGAAAAGCAATATCTGCTGACAGCCATATGATTTACCATTACTGAAATTTGACAAGCAAAAAAGATCCATTGTATATTGCCAATAGTGTAGAAATATATGAAGCACAGATCACACAGAAATCGCTTTCAAACCCACACAATCACATGGATTTCTACTGAAATTCATAATTTCAGTCTAAATTCTCCTTTTGAGGTGAGACTGCTTTTAGTCTGCAGAAGCTCATGCGAATGAAGTCTTAATGAAGTCTCTTCTTGGTATCCTTGTGCCTATGCCAACTGAAATTAAGAGGGTTTTTTTTTTCATTTAATAAAAGAGACCAAGAGGAAGGGGGGGGAACACTGGTCACTTTTTCTGGTTCTGGCTGATGACAGGCCTTCATTGTGCGTTCACCTCAGTAAGAAGCCCTAGGCGCTGGGATCAGAACCGTGTCCCATTCAGCCGGTTGTAGGAAGTGGTTTCCTTGGAATTTTGGTCTGGAGTGTCGCGCTTTTTGTGTTACCACAGTAACCCCGTACTTCACCTGTAACAGGAGAGGATAAAGGAGCTTTTCAGCTGGTACTTTATTTGGACTGAATATGACATATGAATAGAAATATGAGTGTGCTTTAGTCTAGACACAGCATAGTTCACCCAAAAATGAAAATTCTGTCATTTACTCACCCTCAGGTTGTCTCCTTCGTCTGCTAAAAACAGAAGAAATGTTTTGAACAATGTTGGTAACCAAACAGTTTCTGGTCTGGACTTCCATAGTATTCGTTTCCATGCTATAAAAGTCAATGGTACCAGCGAAGGTTCGGTTACCAACATTCAACAAAATATCTTATTTTATGTGCTACGGAAGAAACAAACTTATACAGGTTGAGGGTGAGTAAATAATAACTCATTTTTGGGTCATTCTTTAAGACCTATCATTGAGTTTTGAGTGTTATTATGGGATGTTTGAGTCATAGTAATTCTGTCATTAATTACTCACCCACTTGTTGTTCCAAACCCGTAAGACCTTCGTTCATCTTCGGAACACAAATGAAGATATTTTTGATGAAATCCGAGAGCTTTCTGACCATTCATAGACAACAACACAACTGACACGTTCAAGACCCAGAAAGGTAGTCAGGACATCGTTAAAATAGTCCATGTGACTTCAGTGGTTCAACTGCACAAAAACAAAAATAACGGCTTAATTCAACTATTTCTTCTATTCTGTGTCCGTCTTTGACGTGCGTCAGACATTTGACAGATTTTTGGGTGAACTGTCCCTTTAAGGGTTAAAGGTCAAGGTGTGCAAGATGAGCCGGTGTAAATATAGTCGGAGTGATGGTTTAGTGGTTCGCACACATTGAGCCTTGGTGCTCACGTAGGAAATGAAGATTCAAGTCTAGCAAAGTCCAAAATCCTGTAAGATGGGAGGGCGAAGATTTGTTTTCTTGGATTCAGAAGGCAGTAATGCTTATTTGCCATTTTCTTTCTTTGCAGTTTGGTGTCCAGTCACTTTTCTCCTCATATCGTTCCTCATCATCATCACGGCCTTCATCAGACAGGCATCCCTCACCCAGCCATCGTCTCGGCGGCTATTAAACAAGAGCCCAATGGAGAACTCAGCCCAGCAGCTAATACGTAAGCACACGCATACAACACACTTCCCTCCTGTTAATGCTTTCTTACAGCTTTTTGGAAACTGACAGGTATCCTGTTTTATTACTTGTGTGTTTGCAGAAAGTCTCCAGTCTCGACTAAGAAGGAGGAGGACAAAAAACCTCACATAAAGAAGCCCCTAAACGCCTTCATGCTCTATATGAAAGAGATGAGGGCCAAAGTGGTGGCCGAATGCACGCTGAAAGAAAGCGCCGCCATCAACCAGATTCTCGGCCGCAGGGTGAGTAAATCATTTAGTCCTCGTATGAACACCCATCTTGAGTGGTCCGAAACAAATGCTGGGGTAAATGTGATCCAAACTTTGGATGTAGTCGAAAACATACATTTGTTGTGTAAACGCTAATGTGTCCCACAACATCAACATATCGCCTACTCGCCTGTAAATCAGCCGTTGTGCTATTGGTTCCTTAAATGTTTTTTAATAAATCTGCAAAAATGTCAACAATTCTGTGTTTTTCTGTCAATATGGGGTGCTGTGTGTACATTAATGAGGGAAAAAAAATAACTTAAATGATTTTAGCAAATGGCTGCAATATAACAAAGAGTGAAACATTTAAGGGGGTCTGAATACTTTCCGTACCCACTGTATATATATTGCCGATTTTATATATATATATATATATAGGGTTTTAACCGTATATCGGTATGACGGTTTATCAAGGTTTGACCATGCACGGTTATCATACCATAAACATTTGCATATCTACGGTTTAAAAAAAAAAATTTATGAAAATAAATCTCACCCGTGCATATGCAACTTATTTCCGCTCGGCTGCTTCACTCTGCATTCACTTGGCTGCTTACATGCACGTGCAGCGGAGAAAATGATAGAGACGGAGATAATATCTAATCTCCATCCCCGCCGAAAAAAAAGTACAAATCTGCAGTATGGGAATACTTCGGATATTTAAAAAAAAAACGAACGCAGGGTTGTCCTTGAGGACGGATCCAATTTGCAAAAGACGTGGACGCAAAGTGGCTGCAAAAGCAAGCAATACATCCAACATCTTCGCTCATATTCGCGGACACCATCCCTCTGTGCAGAAGAAGGTGTGTCGCATTAATAACAAGTTAAGTATGATTTCCGTGATGCAGAGAGAATCCCGGTGCAGTCGTGAACATGACATTTACAGTATAGCGAGGATGTCAAGTAAAACGCGCAATCTGATGGATGGATAAATCAAAAGTAGATATATGTGTCTGTGAATATTTATGCGCAAAGAGACGGCTATATAAATAATCTGCTTGTTCCTGCATGTCTCTTGAGTGGCGCCATTTTATCTACTGCATACTGAAGTACGCATACATAAATGGTGTTTTCAGCTAGGGTTGCCAACCGTCCCTTATTTTGGGCCTAATTGATTTGTCCCGTACGTGACCTCCCTTGTCCCGTTTTTTGCCTGCTACGCTGATCTAACCACTGACTGATACAACAGCAGCAGTGCTGATCACTTGAGAATGATCACCGACACCTGTCATCATCCAATCACAGCCCCCTCATGCAGTATACATTAAGTAAAGCAGAAATCGTGAACATAACTGTTCTGTTCATAACCTCTGCCGGCTGGTCGCTCCCGCCTCACAGCAAGCGCCGCTCGCACTAACGCCAATTCTGTCCGTGTTTTCACTTCAGTAAATCAGTTTTGGTGAATACAAACAACGTGATTGATTATTTTTCATGAGTCCAACATCCCGCCGCGCAAGAGACGTGATCAGTAAGGGAAGTCGTCTTTCACTGTTGTAATGTTGTTAAATAGAGAAAAACATTTTATATTTAAGTCTTAATTCTTAACCTTGGACCTTATTCTTACAACACAAAATGACGAATAAAAATTATATATATATGTGTGTATCACAGTTTCCACAAAAATATGAAGCAGCACACCTGTTTTCAACATTGATAATAATCAATGTTTCTTGAGCAGCAAATCAGCATATTATGATTTCTGAAGGATCATGTGACACTGAAGATTGGAGTAATGATGCTGAAAATTCAGCTTTGATCACATTTCATTGGAATATATATTCAAATAGAAAACAGTTGTTTTAAATTGTAGTAATATTTCACAATATTACTGTTATTGTATTTTTGGTCAAATATAAATGCAGCCTTGGCGAGTATAAGAGACTTTCAGAAACATTCAAATATCTTTGAACATTAGTGTGTAACTATTTTTGCACGTTTGTTGCATATACATACAGTGCATGGGTGTGCAGTCACACTGGTACGTGTGTTGTGTAAATGGTGTGTGTGTATGTACAGTATATATATATGTGTGTGTGAGATTGGCCTTTGGCTGACTGTGGTGTATGTGTTTGCAGTGGCATTCTCTATCACGAGAGGAACAGGCCAAATACTACGAGCTGGCCAGGAAAGAGAGGCAGCTGCACTCTCAACTCTACCCTGGCTGGTCCGCGCGAGATAACTATGTGAGTCTGACATTTCAGCACACAGCCTTACGCTCACATTTGTATGCTGTCAAACGGCACTTTCCATCAATACGGTACAGTTGGGTTTCACTTGCTGTTTTTGTAAAGCAGTAGAGTAACAAATCCCGTGATTTTTTTATAATGTATCAAAAATCTATACACCATCACGTAAGAATAGTTATTGGTCTTACAGATCTTCATCTTAAATCGTATGTCATCATTTTGAAAATCTGTTGTATATTGATCCTTGTAGGAAAAAAAGGATTTTTAATTAAAAGAAAAGAAACATCAAACAAATATTTTTCTTAGATTTTTGGGAAATATTAGAAACTACAAAAAATATTAGGCCTAATTTTAAACCCTATTCATGGCAAGTGCCAAATGTTCTTTATATTGTATAACTGCACTTCTTTGATTCTTTTGTTTGTCCATTCTGTATTATTATTTTACTTCATTCTGTATTTATCGCTCTAACTCTTGTTCCATCTCTCTCGCCCTCTGTTTCTCTCACTGTATTTTTTTCTCTTCAGGGCAAGCGGAAGAAGAGGAAGAGAGATAATAAGACAGACTCAACACCAGAGGGTGAGGACACACACACACACTCACACAGCCTTTTCTCTCTCGCCTTGTCCATTTCTAACCGCGCTCTCTCCTCCTTGCTAACATGCAGCTTATGAGGTCCAGTGCTAGCACAGGCAGGTACAGTATGTCTGCAGGCTTAGGGGCCGTTCACACAGGATACGGTCTTTTTTCTTCTATTGTTCAATCATTGGTTTACATACACATGCAACAAATGGACGTCTTTGGCAGTTGCACCACGTCTTGCTGTATTTTCATCGTCTTGCGACATTAGCAATGAGAGGCCATGTCAGTTCAGTGAATCAGTGTCTGTTTAAAACAGTGGACCAATCTGATGAATGTGGGAGTGAGATATAAGCATGCTAAGTGTTTATTGTGACGGGTCTATGTTAGTGTGCCTTCTATTTTTAAAGCAAGAGCGTGTCCTGTGTGAACGTCCTCTTAGACAGCCAGTGTCAGAACTGTAGAAGTCAGCCTACTCTTCATTGTGATCTCATCTACGACTACGTCCACCATTTGAGTACAGTGACGTCAATAAATTAACACAACGCCATTTCCATTTCGTGTTGAGTATTGTATAGGTGAATCTCATTAAAGCTGCAAAGAAGAACATGTCTAGGTCATATTTCACCCCAAAATCAAGGAAACAATATGACAATTAAGTACATTTTCCACCAGATTCTTATTACTGTAATGCAAAAACGGTATGCTGCATCAAATCTAAAGAGAGCAGTCTTGTGTTTTTTAGCCCAACCGCTCAAAAAAAAAAAAAAAAAACCTTCCTGCCCACTAGGAGGTGCTGTGCTGAAACTGTGCAGATACCCTCAGGTCATAATTATTATAACACACCAAGTTTGGTTTAAATACGCTAAAGCATTGCAGAGATATAGCCTCACATCCATTTTGGCATGTTCTTCGTTAATTTCGTTTGCGTGTGATTCGAGAACGCTAACGCTTGACTAATCAGCTTGAATTCCATAATTATTTGTCGGCCATGTTCTGAAGATGATCTGATTAGATCTGATTTGGTCTAGGAGTTCTAAAAATTGAAGATTTTTTTTGTATTATTCAATGGCGGGAAATTTAAAAATGTAAAAATTTCAGTTCAGTTCCATTTTTTTTTTTTTTAAAGTTACATTGAGAATCAAATGTGAATTATTCAGAATAATGGGAATTGGCATTTTCTTTTCACAATTTGTGAAATTTCTTAGGATACTGCAACAAAAAAGTATAAAATCACATTCTGTGGCACCTTTTTAAAAAAACGAATTCAACAATTAAGAAATTATAAATGCAAAAAAAAATCTTTTTCCAAAAGAATTGCAGTTTAGTTTTTTTTTAATTCAGCTAAGAGGTCACGCGTGACATATCAATCTTTTCTTCAGATTCAAGTTCACCAAACTTGAACTTTGGAACGTAGCGAATTGCGAAACGTCTTTGCGCGAACTTGCATTTCCAGTCTTTAGCATTAAGGTGTATGAATAGAAGTCAATGAAGTGAAAAGTGTACTTTAAAATTTTCAGATGCATTGCATCAACGAGAATTTGGTGGGAAAATGTGCTTAATTGTCCTGAAAATACCTCTGGATCGAAAAAAAAATAAATAATAATTTAAAAAAATGGCAGCTGAGGTTTCTGTGAGTGTATCATGACCTCGCTGTTTCTGGGTAAATTTGGTCTTATCTCTGCTGTTGTTTAGCAGATATATTAACTCTGAACGGTTAGAAATCCTCGCCATTCATATTGTGTGATTTCCGTCCTCTTTCAGATTTCTCGGCACGGAATAAGAAGCCGTGTGTGCAGTACCTCCCTCAGGAGAAGATGATTGACAGCCCGGCCTCCTCTCACGGCAGCATGCTGGACTCTCCAGCCACGCCCTCCGCAGCCCTGGCCTCGCCCGCCGCTCCCGCCCCCACTCACTCTGAGCAAGCCCAGCCACTGTCACTCACCACCAAACCCGACCGCCACCATCACTTCCCTCTGCTCTCCAAACCCTCCTCCTCATCATCATCATCATCCTCTTCAGCATCCTCCTCCTCCTACCAGCCAACCAGCGCCTCAGGCAGACAGTCAACTCCGCCTCTTCTGTCTCGGCCACTCCCCTTGGCTTCCCTGCATGCCTCGCTCCTGTCTCCGCCCTCGCCGTTCCATCAGGCCGCTCTTCACTCCCATCATGCTTTGTTCCAGTCCCAGCCACTCTCTTTGGTAACCAAATCAGCTGACTGACTCTTCAAAAGCAATTCTCTCTTAATGTCTAATGTGATTAGTTCTAACAACTGAAATTTCCTAATAAGATTCTAATAAGATGAATTTCTTCCAATAAGTGAAGGAGCAAGTAGGCTACATTGTTTTGCACAAATGTATTCGTGGGAAACGCCACAATGTTAGCCTACCTCAAGATGCAGGGATTTTGTAATACTCCTCTAAAAACAACATCTAGAGCACAAAATGATAGCAGCATAATCTTCTCGAGAAACCCTCCTGCTATAAGAGGAATTAGAGTTAAATCTTTAATAGGTGGAATTTAGGCAAACCGCACTGGAAAATAAACAGATGAGCCAAAGCAACACAAATGTCTGCCAAAAATAAGCACGGGTTTAAAAAAAATAAAATCGACATCTGTTCCTTCCTGGAATGCAAAGTCCCAAAACAACGACAAAAAGCAGGTCAAACCCTGCCTTCTCTTTTCCTCTCACTTCTCGCGTTGCGTCTTTATTTGTGGCTTGGCGAGCCGCCGCTGGCGCTGTAATTAAGTGTGCGGTAATAGGATGGAGCTCCAGGGAGCTCATTAGGCTTTTCAATTAGTGAAAAATACACAAGGTAGAGTCCTCTGCTTTTTAGGGACTTTAGAAACGGGCAGAGATGCCAAGAATGGTCCCTTTCACGTTCCCCTCAGCTGGGAAACAGGGCGGAGGTGACACCCTTGACAGACCTCGTGTTCCTGAGGGGGCCCTTCAAAATCCGTCGTATCTGTGCGGTGAGACCCTGATTTCACTTAAATCTTAAAATCCAAGCAATCTCGCTCATAAAATGTACATTTCAACAAACGCGAGGCCTCAGAGTAAGTCGGGGCGAAATTAGACCCGCTGATGCTCAATTATTCACAACAATCGTGCTAAAATTATTATACCCTCCTCCCACGCAGCCAGAGCCATACGCAGGGCTTTATAAATACCGACCGAGGCCACAAAATTGAGCTTGCTTACGAGGTACGTTACACCCAATCACGTAAATGATATACTTTCAGTTCAAAACAGAGAAATTAGATTCACATTCATTTGCATACCTTATTATTTCAGTCGTCTTTTATCGCAAAAACAGCTGTCAAAGAACCGTCAACTGAAACTCATTCCGGAATTCTCTCTCAGCAGCCTCAGTGAACCAGGGTTGCTAGGTCTGCCTAAAAAAAAATGGCACAATAGTAGCCCAAAGTGGCCATATCCCAAATATCAAAACTCAAAATATATCTCCGTACGTAAATATTTTACAGTCACATTGAAATTGTAGTGATCATAAACACAGCTCAGAGTAGCCCTCCTATGCAAAACGTACCATCTTTGTGCAGTTTTATCATTAGTAGAATATAAAATAATCCAATACAAGCATTTCAGTCACATATAATTTATATGCAATATGTCAAAAGCTGTAACCAGCAGGGAGAAATCAACCCAAAGCAGCACAAAACTGGGGACTTGGCAACCCTGTGAACAGTCTGTTTACTTTGATTTGATTGGTCATCTCAATCACTATCTGGTCTCCAGTTTTGAGTTTACATCTTGCAATTCATTTTTAATTTTATTTTTTGCCACAGAATAAAAAAATGTAAGGAATTTTTTTTTTTACATTTCCAAATTCTGACTTTTCTCTCGCAATTGTGAACTTGCATCTTACAATTTGGTCTTTTTTCCGCAGAATTGTGAGTTGTTGCAATACAAGTTTACATCTCGCAATTTTAACGTTTTCCTCTGAATTCTGATTTTATCTCTCACAATTCAGACACTTTTTTTTTCATTCTGAGTTAACATCTTCCAAATCTTTTCTTTCCACCACAGAATAAAAAAGAAAAAAAACGCAATTACGACTTTTTATCTCACAGTTTGGTCTTTTTCTTCTCAGAATTCGAAGTTTACATCTGACAGTTCTGATTTTTTTCTCAGAATTCGAAGTTTACGTCTCACAATTCTGTCTTTTTTTTCACGCAATTGCAATTGAGATACGTAATGCACATCTCACAATTCTGACTTTTTTTCTCAAAGAGTTGATATCTTGCAATTTTTCCACCACATAATAAAAAACAAAAAACATCATTGCGAATTCTGACTTTTTATCTCACAATTGTGATTTTTTTTTTTAGATAAAATGTTGTTTTTGGCTTTTTTTGCATTTTTTTTAATCCTGTAGTGGAAACAAGCTTTCATACTTGCAGCACCAAACTAGACTTAATATTATGCAGTTATCATTTTGGTTATATAAACCCTGGGGGGGGGGGACGAGACCTCAATGGCAGGTACAGCCATGCTCCCATGAACATAT